CAACAAGGGCGATGCTTCCTGGAAACTTGACTTAGACAGCGGATGTAAAAAGAGAGGTGAGGTCACTGTTTGAACAACTTCACGCAGTGGATTACTCGTATGGCCCTTCAAACATCACCCTTTCAGAAAGAAACTTCTTCAACATTCGGCCAGGTGATGGGAAGACCGAAAGGTCTTGTTTTACTGGGCCCCAAAAGGCCATTCCCCCCACTTCCCCGGTCCGGACTCCTTAGGGCCCTCGCTCATTTCTTCTTCTTCTTCTTTGTAGGCTGCTACCCACCAGTCCACAGCATCTCCTGGCATACAGTCTGTGTGTGTGTGTCTCGCTCTATCCCCCTCTCTGTGCCTTTGTGTGGATGTGGGTCCTTTCTTGCGAGGCAAAACGCGGCCCTTTTGATTGGTTTGGAGGTACTTGTCTTTTTGTGATGCCCCTTTTGGTCGGCATTTTCCAGGAATCGCATGGGAAGGTCGTCGCCCCAACAAGGGGCTCATATTACTACAAATCGGTACAAAGACCTGTAGGTCACTCGGCGACATGGCTCGGGGCTTCTCCCGCCCGGACAACCAACTTGACCATCAAACCAAACAGCAACACATTTGAAAAATGATTCAAACAATCCTTTTGCAAGGGTCATCGTGGGGCACCAAATCAACACCGTTCAGAAACGAGGGTCTGAAACGTTCAACATGTTGCCCTGAAAAACGTGGCCCATGGGAGTCGCCCCTCTGATAATCGCAAGGTGCCAAGGCCCCGTGCCACTTTTAGCAAGAGGATGGGAACATGCCGTTCTTGTCAAGCTTTTCCAACAAGGTACGGCTACTTTCTGAATGTTGCAAGTGAACCAACCACCCGGCAAATGGCAGTAATTGCGGCTTCCCTGCTTGCAACATGGCTGCCACGCGGATCCCCACGATGGGTTTCCTGGTAACTTTTCTTTAAGCCAACCCTTTAAAGGGCGCCAACTCCACAAAACAAAATAGGCCATCCATGCTTCAGAGCATCTGCCGGGGATCGCGGGAGGGAGGATCTTACGGCTTGCCTGTGCCACCATGAGAACCTGAGATGAACCACTGGTGTCCCACTTTCAATTGCCTGGTTGTTTGTGGTGTCCTACCCCCCCTCCAGCAATCATGGAAGTGGACAGAGGCGTCCAAAAAAGGGAAAGTAGTCTTCCAGAACCCTCCTGTCAGCTATGGTTGTTGGTATCCTATTTGAAGAAGAGGAATCCAGCCACTTTTGAGAAGCTGCCCTCTCCGCAAGGTTCCACCTCTCCGGGCGCGAAAAATTACCAGGGAACCCTCTGGATGAATGAGTTATTGGAAAGGGCCAGCCCGACCTTTAGCTGAGGCAAGACGAAAGGACACTAACCTATAGGGCAAATTCCCACTTCCATGCAATATTCAGGCAGGGAGTTCGGAGGTATGGGTGGCTGGCTATATGGGATTGGTGGCATGATGGCATGTATGTTTATACCTCAAAATTCAGTACCCGAAAATGCCCTGGAGTTAGATTCAAAGCTGGATTTAGTTTCAATCCCATCTTCGTCCGTAAGACAGAGCATCTCTCAGTTCCCGAAAGACCAGGCAGCAGCACTTCGAAGCCGACCCATTTTCTCCTCGAGAGAGGACTCTTGTGAGGATCCCTTGCGTGTTCCATGTTGATTAGGGGAGTCCTTGGGTGTTTCCTAAGTTTGAGGAGCTGAAGAAAGGGTTGACATATTTCTGCGTGGTTCCATTGGAACCATCCAAGTTTTCGAAGAAAAAAAGGCAGCCCCGCAAGGGGTAAGACACAAAATAAATCCCTCTGCTCATCTGCTCCAAAATAGTCGGGTCGACTCTGCCATTCTAAGACATGCATGGCCATGCGAAACGATAATGCGATGCGTGGCAACACCAGCATGCTTCCAGAAACACGGGGGCCTTGGTCATCTGTCCTGCAAGGGAGAACCAAAGGACAACCAACATTTTTGAGGGTCCCCTAGTTGAGACAACACCATGACATGTGTACATACATATGTGTATATTATATATATACATATTATGTTGCAAATATACACTTCTACCCGCTAACATGTAACTCACTAACAGGAAGGTGCTTGGAAGACCAAGTAGCTCTCGAAGGTTAGTCCCATGTTGGTGGTTGGACGGGCGTATACTTAGAAATACTCCGGTGTAATTTCATACATGCCCTGGTGGCCTTGTGGAAAACCATCGATAATGATCAGAATAAAACTGACAGACGCGCCATCAATGTTCGGTCGACCCAAACGCCCTCCATGCATCTTGTCAGCTGGAGGGTACTTAGGTGGTCCGGTAGTTGGCTGAGTCGGAAGCTACCCATAAGCTCGCATCAAATAGGCAGCACTCGCATCACTCCTTTGCAGATCAAACGAGAACCCCACAACAACAAGGGGGGCAACAAGGGGTCCCCAAGAGCAGAGTTCCCTAAACACGCAGCATTTGCGGGGGGTTACGTGTCCTTCAATTTGCTTAAGTCCACTGGAAAAATAAAAACATACTTGTAGTACTGATAGAGTCCCTTTAAAACCAACAGGGTAAATACAAAAATAGCCTCAAGCGACTGGAAGTGTTGATTTGATGGGGAAGAGCTTCGACGTCTCACTCAGCTCCAGGCCGAAAGGCTTTCTGGCGCGCCGCTGGAAGCGACTGGCCAAGGGCCCGGCGCGGGGTTGGGGGCCGGGTGAGTCGGGTGAGTGTGTCGCAAATCAGGGAATAACCCATGGGAGTGAGCCAAAAGCAATGCAGTTGCCACAGTGAAGAAGATTTCGACAACAAAATCCTCAACTGGGCGGTGTGCTAACCGATTGTTCTTCACAAGATACACAAACTTAGGCACACTTTTCTCCCATGGGTAATTTGGTTCAATAGCACCCCAACACCATTCTAGCTGTTTAACGCCCTAGCCTGAACTGAAAACAACCCATTCCGTACCCCAGCGACGTGGAACTCTTCGGACCCTCTTCTCAATGGCATCCTGCGGGGTTCGATCTGAATGCGGTCACGCCTTGGTCGCCCGCTCCGTCTGAGAGCGGGACCTGAGAGCGAGCTTGGCTTGACTGGACCCAAGTCTTGAAACGGCGGAGCAGATAACATATGCATTGTTTAACTATGGCAGTTACTATAATATGGTTTTTGGCCAAGTTTTCTCGCTTTCATGTGGGTTTTCGGCCAGCTCAACAAGTGATTCGCCACCTAAGAGTTCAACCCACAGGGTTAGCTCCTCTTCGGGGGGCTCACAAAGAGGCGAATTGGGCCATTGGGGTATCGTTGCATATGTCCCCATGAACCCATTTTGAGTTCGTTGTGTCCTTCCCAACCGCAGTCGTTCGCTCGGCTCAGTCATACTTGGAAGCAAACTGGGCGAATTTGGATACCAACCAAGAAAAACATGGGGATGCGAATGCAGTCATTGGACGAATCTCCTGGCAGACCTCCCTTTTCGGGTTCCATGTTAATATAATTGGGCACAAACCAAACAGCTTGAAATACGGGATCCTGCGCAAAAGAAAACCTTCCACACGGGGCCCGAGTTTGTTTTACCTCTTGGACTGGACCCCGAGGCATGGAATCCGAGTCATCTGGTCCGGCTCAAAAGCAGTCACGAAATGGCCGATGTGATTTTAGACCAACAACTCATCGAGCGGCGCTACAGTAACATGGTCTTCCACAAGTGCTGCTACGTAATTAATTTCATCCCAGCGACCTGATCGCCATCTTCCATGTCCACGTCAGGCGGCATCGAGCTGAAAGTGTTCTTGTAAACAGCTAGTCGCTGCTGGCTGTATTGACTCCTGCCTTAAATGGGTAATTGTCTCTTTTTAGGGGAGCCCAACAGTTTTGACTTTTTCTTTTGGCGTCCCCATACACCACCCGCAAAATTGGGTACCTTCAAAATACCCACACACACACACACACACTTGTGTATGCAACAAACACATGAGATGCCTTGGTTTCTTTGAAGGCCAAGGGTACCGTGTGCCTGCCGCTCGTGCCAATCAGAGCTGTACCATGGAATCATGAGGCCTGTAAGCCATTCAGTTGGACGCAAGCGGGTAACTCAAGCACTATCTCGCCTGTGCCATGTGCCGCGTGCACAAAACAACTCTTCAACCCCCCTTCCAAACACGAAGGTGATTCTCGTCTTGTGGCCCGTTCAAGGCACCAAGCAAGAGAGGGAGAGAGCAGCCACCAACAAGAAAACATTTGTGTGAAGGGAGTTTCTTTCTCAGAGCGGGGCGGGCGGGCGCAAATTAGAGTCAACACTCATTGTTCGTCAGCCCACGTGTCCTAACTGTACTTTGGGGCTCGTGTGCCCACGTCATAATGGTTGATGTTGACTGTTGCTCATATCACCTCCCAGTCTGCAAAGGAAGAAGGGGAGTCCGTTTTCCAAAGGAAGTGCTTGTGTTTTGTGTGTGTGTGTGTGTGTGTGTGTGTGTGTGTGTGTGTGTGTGTGTGTGTGTGTGTGTGTGTGTGTGTGTGTGTGTGTGTGTGTGTGGGGGGGGGGAAGGCCGGTATGCAGGTGAGTGAGTGATGGGCCTCAAAAAGGCCTGTTGCAAAACCTACCAGCAACGTCACGCACGGATCCGCGCAGCTTGCAGCTTTCTCCGTACGCGGAAAAAGCAGGGGGGTGTCTTGCTTCTTTGCCCCCGAAACCTGGGTATCTGACCACTCCCTTTCCTCTCTTCCGGTGAAGAAAAGGCCCATAACCGTCCAACCTTGGAGCACTAAAATGGTCTTCTCGAACTGAAGTGCGTTTTCCTTGTGGCCGCTCAAACAACTGTTGAAAGCTCAACAAAAAAATAGGGAACCCCAGAAAACCGGGGTCCCCAGAAAAGACTCTCGTTCGCATTGATGCTTGCCCGAGGCCCCAAGCCATGGAGCGGTTCAAGCCTATAGCTAGTGCACACAAATTATGCGTAAAGTCAAAGGCTAACTGAGTCAACTGCAAACTGACTCAACTGCAAACAACTGACATGAACCAAGTCAACTGTACCCCAGCAACTTGAAACGCTGCTGAAGCCGCCCGGCCGACGTGAAAAGAGAAACAAGAAACACCGGCAACCCCAAGCGCTCAGGGCTACGATTTCTCGAAGTGCTTCTCCAACGCTTTGAGCTCCTCGATCCAACAGGAACCAGGCTCAGATAGGACCCCCTCTCCGCATGGGGCCCTGAATACCCCCTTCCTTTCCTCCAAATAGCTTAGCTTGCAGCCTTGTTACTTGGGTGTTTGGCCATATTGTGAAGTGGCTGGTCATCTGGGTTGCACCCCACTAACAACAGGGGTAATTCCTCTGAGGGGCTTATAAATTGGTAATCACCTAAGTTACAAAACACGCCGGAGCAGGCTCCTATTTTGCGGAAACCAGGGAGAGTGGCTTGAGGAAGGCTCGCTCGGATCCTATGGTCTGGTAAGTACATCAAAGACCCTCCCCCCGAGTCGTATTACGGATTGAATCCAGAGCTTCCCCGTGTCCCCGGCGCGAATCAAAGAGCACAGCTTGAAACGGGTAATCCCGTTCATCTAGTTACTTCGGCGACAACCTGCCTGAAACAGAAGCGGAGTCCGCCTCCGAAAGAGCTCTTCGTTTTAACGCCAACAAGGGCGGTCCCTTTCCGTCCACCGGGTACAATGACAAGGTACCAAGCTTCACTGACTCCCAAACCACAGTATCATTCACAAACTCGCTGTAAGCTTCTAAAGCATACGTTGCAGGGAAACAAACAACCGCTCGCTTTACATAGGATCAGTGAGCCCAGTGAGGAAAATGACCCCGAAATGCAGCAGGGACCAACAATGCCTGAGCTTGGTCTTGCCATCATAGGTGAAAGAGTTGGGGACCTATCATTAGAACCTGCATCTGCGCTGAATGCTATGATTCGTTGAGGAGTCCTCAATAAGAATCATCGCAATCACTCGTCAGATCAGTTGTCTGTGCAAGCCCTCCGGGAGATCAAGGTAGACGCAAACGCCAATCAATTGCCATAAGGGTCTAAACCCCAAAACCTCCCTTCCAAGTACCCAGACATAAAAGGTCGACAGGTTAAGCTTTGGACAACTGAGTTTGAGTGACTAGGGATGCAACACTTAGCCACTAAAAACTCAGGTGTTTCTTCTTTTTGGATTCCCTTGAAACCGACTTAAAACAAACAAAAAAAACGTTCCGTGCTTTTCTTATTTTGCCAACACAATTCGAATTTGGCGGTTGGCTGAATCTATATCAAAAGAAAGGGCCGCCATGTCGCTGGCCCCTCCAAAAAGCGGAAAAAACAAAAACAAAACATCTCGCGTCCTGTATGGCTGCATCCACTGTTGGCGCAAGAATAAGGAACCTTAGCGCGCACATGTCACATTCACACATTCACGGAGTTTTGGAATATCAGGATTACTTAACTCATTCACTTGTTGTTGACACGCACTTGCATCCATGCATCCGCGTATTCACACATTCAGACACGCAATTCCGTCAGTAGTCTCTCCGATCTGCAAACCTGCCTATCAACAAAGACCGCAGGCCATGAATCAACGCAAGTAACTCAAAGTCAACATGGCACGCTCCACCCCAGAGCCCCAGTGGCCAAGACAAAGGGGCACCCGTTTTGTTGTAGCTATGTGAGAACTCGCCCTAAATCAAGAAAGGTACGTGCGCAAAGAGTGGCCTTCACGACATACATCCACGCCTCTACACTGATACGTAAGTGTCAAAATAGAAGGACAAACATGGTGGTTTTCCTCTTGGCATCCCTTTAAAAGCGAAGGTGAAAAGGGTGCCACGATAAAGATGGCGAAGGTGAAAAGGGTGCCACACACCCACACACACATTTACACACGCACACACACACACACACACCCACCCACCCACCCACCCACCCACCCACGCCCGCACGCACCCACACACACACACACACACACACACGCCCATCTTGCGGACAAGCTGCCCGTGCCCTCGCCGAATGAAGACCCTGTTCTGCGGATACCTCAGGTGATAAGGGACTAACCAATTACACATGTCTCCTCACTTAGGATCATGACTGCCTACGGCTTACACCAGGCAACCTCATTCCAAGTCTTCGGCCCATATTCCGAGGCGATCCACGGGCCCCCGCGGGAATTGCTGGAAGAGCTTCATCAGCGCCTCCACATCCTCCGGGGTGCTGAAGAGCGTCTCCTCGTGGCCTGGGTTCCATGGCCGGTGACCGCTTGGATGTTCAACGTCAGGCAGGCTACAGCCAAGCAACTGGGAAAACTGGTTTTCGTCCGCACTGCCACGGTTATAACCTAAGATGATTGAACGTCAAGCAACACACTTGTCAGTAAAGTGGGTGAAAACCAAGAATGGCTTGATCTTGTGTAACCCCACTTCAAGCTGAATCATATGTGCACCTGTGGGGGTGTGACTGGTTGTCAAGGGTGCGGGTCCCCTTTGCATCTTGGCTTTAGAGGGCAACCTTGGGGCGCTCTTCTTCTGACATACACACTCAGGTGTTCGATTGGTCAACTGAACTGGCTTGTAAACTACCCAGGAGGGTCTGGCCACACCCCAGGGCCCTCAATCAATTAATTCCCTTCTGAAGGCCCTGGTCAAATACGTTGGTGATTAGCATTGGGGCACACTCAACACGAACCAGGGCGTTCAAATCCCAAACCACCATCACCGACTGGGGCAACCTGTGACCTGTTGGTTGGCTGAATAATCCAAACAATGATGCGCCATCTGTGCTCGGTGAAATTTAGCTGGGAATGCCCCCTCCCAAAACAAATTCCTTGGTTGGCGGTGCTTTACATAAACCAACTCAAGGAAAACACAAACAACCACAAACAAACACACACACACACACACACACACACACACACACACACACACACACACACACACACACACACACACACACACACACACACACACACACACACACACACACACACACACACACACACTCACACACACACACACACACACACACACACACACACACACACACACACACACACACACACACACACACACACACACACACACACACACACACACACACACACACACACACACACACACACACACACACACACACACACACACACACACACACACACACACACACACACACACACACACACACACACACACACACACACACACACACACACACACACACACACGCACACACACACACACGCACGCACGCACGCACGCACGCACGCACGCACGCACGCACGCACGCACGCACGCACGCACGCACGCACGCACGCACGCACGCACGCACGCACGCACGCACGCACGCACGCACGCACGCACGCACGCACGCACGCACGCACGCACGCACGCACGCACACACACCACACACACACACACACACCACACACACCACACACACCCACACACCCACACACACACACACACACCACACACCCACACACTCACACACCCACACACCCACACACCCACACACCCACACACCCACACACACAACACACACACAACACACACAAACACGCACACACACATTTTGTTTGACTCATTCTGAGACCCCACGCACCCCCCGGCAAAAAAAAAACTGTCCTTGGCTTCCTGAGCGTTTTCAGTAAAACTCATCCCCAAAAACGGACACTCGTTGCGTGCTTCTCCCAATTAATTTCAAACAGAATCCCCATTTAAAAAAGAACTCTGAAAAGTGCAATCAAAACTCAAGTGGGGCATTGCACACACATAAACACTCACCAGGTGCAACACTCTGTGTGTGTGTGCAGAGCATCAGATTTACCCTGATGCCAACTTTTCAACATGCAGGGGCGTGTGGCACTCTCATCCTACCACACGCAATGAAGCTGTGGGTGAGAGTGGGAAGCAAGGCCTGATCAGCCTTGTGTACCTGCACCGTTTGAGTGATTCTGAAAGTCTATTTGGCCCCTTGGTTGCGGCGCTGTTTGTGCTTCTTGTTCTTTCAGGTAACGTTTTCGCCTCTAGAGGGAAGCCGAGTGCTTTGCGAGCCGAAACTTATTCATGAAGAACCTTATCCAAGCCGAGCCTTACCAGTTGTACTCGAAAGGATTAGCACCCTCCATCTGGAGTCTAAGTGTGTACACCCCATTCGTGGGGAATCCTCGGGTGTACCCATCGTGTGACCCCGGGCCGGCTTCGCCGGAAAATTTGACCTCAACGTGCTTATCATAGAACTGCGGAATTTCACGTTTAAGCAGGAACGAGGTTTCACTAAAGGGAAGACAGCCACCTCTTCATAGTTACGTTTCACAATGCTGGATGTCGCTGCTGGCAGCTTCTTTTGTGCCTTGCGTTGGGAACATGCATGTCCATGGTCTTGCGTTGTCATTGATTGTGCCTTGCGCGGTAAACCAATGCCGTTGAACTTGATGTTCTGGTTGTGCAATGCTCGGGTTGCACGTGCATGTTCTGTTTGCGCAATGCTTGTTCCATGATGTTGCGGATCGTCTTGTCAAGGTCGTCTGGCAGGCTGAGCCACCCCTTGCGTAGGTCCGTTTCAAGGTCGTCTGGCAGGCAGAGCCACCCCTGGCATAGGTCCGCTTCGAAGTCGTCTGGCAGGCAGAGCCACCCCTCGAATAGGTCCGTTTCAAGGTCGTCTGGCAGGCTGAGCCAACCCTTGCGTAGGTCCGTTTCAAGGTCGTCTGGCAGGCAGAGCCACCCCTGGTATAGATCCGTTTCGATGTCGTCTGGCAGGCAGAGCCACCCCCTCGAATAGGTCCGTTTCAAGGTCGTCTGGCAGGCTGAGCCACTCCTGGCATAGGTCCGTTTCAAAGTTGTCTGGCAGGCAGAGCCGCCCCGTCACTTGCCCCTGTGGGGGCGTGTGTGTGCAGAGCATCAGATTTACCCTGATGCCAACTTTTCAACATGCAGGGGCGTGTGGCACTCTCATCCTACCACACGCAATGAAGCTGTGGGTGAGAGTGGGAAGCAAGGCCTGATCAGCCTTGTGTACCTGCACCGTTTGAGTGATTCTGAAAGTCTATTTGGCCCCTTGGTTGCGGCGCTGTTTGTGCTTCTTGTTCTTTCGGGTAACGTTTTCGCCTCTAGAGGGAAGCCGAGTGCTTTGCGAGCCGAAACTTATTCATGAAGAACCTTATCCAAGCCGAGCCTTACCAGTTGTACTCGAAAGGATTAGCACCCTCCATCTGGAGTCTAAGTGTGTGGTCGTTGTTATTGGTGCTTCATTTGCAAGCAAAAGCAGCGGACACTGATGGTTGCAAGTGGCTGATTGGCAACTGCAGCTCTTCCGCCTTCTTCAAGCCAGCCTTCGCACATGTGACGTGACGGGGGTGCCAAGAAAACACATGCATGCATAAAGGACTCTCCCAATGGGCACCTTTTCGCGACATTAGTTTGCATGGCGGTGCAGCACTTTGTCAACGCCAGGTACGGGTTTCGTGGCAGGATAGCATTTTTTGTGGCCGGTGCAGCGCTTGCAGAAGACATATGACTATGGATACATAGACAGGTAGATAGATGGGGATAGATGTATATATATATAATCTGAGATCAGATAGGTTGGATTAGAAAGATAAATGGGCAGAAAGAGAGTGAGACTAGATTGATAACTGGATGGAAAGAAAGCTTATATCGACAGATGGAAAAGAAAGATAGATTAGATTAGATTGGACTCGAGTATATTTGCTTAGAGTAGACGGAATGATAGATAGACCGATAGACTAGATAGGAACATGGACACATGCAAACTGAGATTGTATCAACAACGAAAAAGACAGAGACAGATAAGATACATAGTTAACACAAATACAGATAGACAGACAGACAGACAGACAGACAGACAGACAAATAGATAGATAGATAGATAGATAGATAGATAGATACATAGATAAATAGATAGATGGGTAAATGGGTGGGTAAGTAGATACACAATATGATACAATGATAGAACGATAGCAATAAGTAAAGAAATACAGTACATAGGATTGATTAGATAGAAATACTCGATAGAAAGAACGAAGGTTAGATGAGACCAAATGGTCAAACTAAAGCATGGAATTGGATAGATAAATAAATACAAAGACACATACTAGATGGATAGATGGATTAGGCAGATGTATAGCTAGATAGATGAATAGACAGATAACCAGGTAGACACATTGCTAGATGGAGGACAGATCGATTGGTAGATACATGTAATGTGAGATTAGATTGATCAAACAATATAAATACATCTGTAGATGGATAGATGACTAGACAGATAGATAGATAGATAGATAGATAGATAAATAGATAGATAGATAGGAAGGTAGATAGATAGATAGATTGGATGGATGGATGGATGGATGGATAGATAAATAGATAGATAGATAGACACATATAGTCGATAGTCGACATAACTAGATGTATCGATCGATAAATAGATATATCGACAGATAGATCAAATAGATAGATCAGGATAGATAGATAGATAGATAGATAGATAGATAGATAGATAGATAGATAGATAGATAGATAGTTAAGATAAGATAAGATAAGATAAGATAAGATAAGATATATATATATATATAGATAGATAGATAGATAGATAGATAGATAGATAGATAGATAGATAGATAGATAGATCGATAGATAGATAGATAGATAGATAGATAGATAGATAGATAGATAGATAGACACATATAGTCAATAGTCGACATAACTAGATTTATCGATCGATAAATAGATATATCGACAGATAGACAGATAGACAGATAGATAGATAGATAGATAGATAGATAGATAGATAGATAGGTACATAGATAGATGGATAGACAGATAGACAGATAGATAGATAGATAGCTAATGAACAAAGAAAGAGTGGTAGGAGGATAGAGATAATGATAAGATAAAGTGCTGCAATGGATTCCCAAGGAAAGCGCCTGAAAGGCTGCCAGTTGCGTTGCTTTGTCTCCACATACACAGCGCTCAAAACTTGTTGACTTTTGGTCCTGACAACATGGTTATCAGGACTCATAATTACAAGCCTTACTATACTAAAATGGTCCCCTTGGAGTCGGTTTTGGACGCTCGAATAGGATGTGGAACTCCGCCCCAAGTGGGTGCGCTTCAAACCTCAACAGGGTACCAAGCCGAGGGAGCCACACGTTCTGATCTGTAGCGACTGTCAGTGCAAATGTGTTGTCAACCCGAAGGACATGGGAAGAAATAGCTCTTCGTCTCTACAAAGGATTTATGGGCTATGGGTTTTGAGCCATAAACATCCCTTCCTCAGGTTGCGGAAAATTATTGTATTTGAGTGAGTCCCCCGATCTGTCCCTCCACGGTTAGACAAATCCGATTTGGACCGAGCTGTGGCATTTTGGCGACTACTTACGAAACCGGGGAGATTCCAGGGTGAAACCTGATTAATGTTGACCCCAGATTCAAAAGCCCCTGTTTACTAATATGGGATCCCTGGTTTTACTGGGGGGGGGATCACTTGAGGGGAACACCCCCATATAAACAAACAGGGATTCAGCTCAATCTGGGGTCAACAGTACTTCCCTGGGTTGCTGTTGAACCCTCTGCAAAAAGTGTGGCTTTTTGTGGGTTGAGTGGAAAACCCCTTGACTTCACAAAAAGTTAAAGTCTAAAGATCCAACCCGATAGCAGTCAAGGATTGGTCCCAGCCCAAGGTGACTAAAGTCCAGGAACTCCGGGAGTGAGCTGAGAGGTGCGGTCAAATCACGCGTTCCCCCAAAAGGACATGGGCAAACTACACGAGTGTGCCGAAGAAATTATGCCCTACTTGAATGCTCAAACAAGTTAGTAAGTAGGATAGAGCCATGGTGGCAAGTTGCCTTGGACGCCCAATTACTGGCCCCACTATTTTAGCATTGTCAAAGTCACCCCCTCGTGGGCTACAGGAACAACACCAGTTTCTGACTTTGGCATCCAAAGAGAAGCCGAGGAACCATTCGTGGCACAAGCGGAATGGCGAGCCCACCATCATGGAGCCTCGGGTCCCTCAAAGCCATGGGAACAGTCAAGGAACCGCAAAGGAAGCAAAGGAACTACCAACGGGACCATAGAACTACCAACAAAAAGCAAAATAGAAGTGTCATAGACCTTCCATGGAACTTCCAGGAACCAAAAGAACCATAGCACATTTCCATAAAGGCACCGCAAAGGACCCCTCAAGCAGATCAGTCCTTCTCCGCCAGCGCGTGGCCGTGAAGGCTCACCTTTGGCCGCGAAGGCCACTGGAACTCCGCCGGAGCGCGCAGCAGGCACGCCCAGTGCAGCGGCCTCCCGGACGGAGAAACGGGCAGAAGCTCAACGGACAAATGGGCCAAGCGGTTCAAAAACCACCCGAGTTTTTGCCAAAGGGGACATCAAAGTAATGTAGGTTCATGGGGAATAACAGCAAAAAACCGTACAAGAATTGAACAACCTTTGTGTCAATGATGCAGCGCTAAATTGACACCAGCGACGAAGACAAACGATACGCATTTATATACAATTGACATGAACTGCATTGAGTGGTGTGCAGTCTGCGGTTCAATGAGGTTGATATGCTGGCGCACCCGTCTTGATGTGTTGAAAGGGAAACCAACGGAGCACACCCCTGCAAACAAGGAACCCGCAGTGCTTACCGTTGAATACAACTACATATCGCAAGAAGATGTTCACACGTCCATTGGAGTAAGCAAAGGGTCAAACCAACATGAGCGAGCTGCGCTGCAAAGCCAAATCGACTGCAAATTGATGCAACGGAGACTCTACATGTGGTAAATCTTTAACATCATACCGATTTTGGGGGGCTGTTCCAAAGGGGGGGAACCACTCATTTCTGCAATCTAGCGACCAACCTGACATGAACCCATTCCATCAGATTTCCACATCCTCCTTGGCAGAAACAAACACCACACGTATAGCTTCTTCCAGCCCATAAAACTGAAGAGTACCCAAAAACAACGTGTTCATGCCAAGTGACTTCAGTGATCCATACCTTTTCTCCCGCAACCTCGCTCCTCCGCCCATTTTCACGTGGCCATGGGTCAAAACCCCGTACCCCCAGTGAACATCCCAATCCCCACTAAAATAGACTAAAATGGGTGGTGCACCTATCCAAAATGGTACCATGGGTTTTGAACCACGGCCACGTTGCTTTCACCCACATCCCCTCACCTCCCCCCGGCTCCGAACCGACCGAACCGACCGACCGACGAACCGACGTCCGCGCGTGTCGGAGGTGGGCTGCACGCCCGGCGAGGCGCTGAAGTCGCAGCTCCAGGCGTCGCGGCTGAAGGACCGCACCTGCGACCCGCCGCCCGGCCACCAGCCCCAGAAAAGGTGGGGAAACTGGCCGATTCGAAGGAGGCAAAACCAGCCCCAGGTTGGTTTCCACTGGTTTCATTTAAGGGATTTTAAGGGAATCCACAAAAGTGGCCCAAAAGGTTCATGTCCGAAACCACTGATTTCGACAGGCAATGAGAAATGGAATGACCAAAAGAGAAGTGGGTTCCTTTGAGGGACAAACGGTTCATGCCCAAAACCCGGAACGGTTATTTCCTGCTGAGCACCAGCAAGGGAATGCCCAGGCGCGAATTGTTTGTGCAGGTTTTTCGGGGCGCGAAAGAGCACTTGGGTCGGAAACTGGGCTGTCAGTTCTCAGATCCCTGCTCAAAGTTTAACTTGTGGGTGAAATGGAAACCCCACTAAACCCTAAAAACCTCTATAGCCTAAGGGGACGGCCAAGGAAGAAAACCGGATGATGTTGATTGGGGCCCCCAAAACAACCACACTTAGTGGAACCAAAAACAAAACAAAGCGCGCGCTGGCCAAAGATTGAGCGTGTTGTTGTTATCCCACATGTTTGTGCGAAAGCCAACAAACAGTGGTTCAAACAATTGCTTGGAATTAATATTCAAGGGAATTGTTGGGCACACATTCTGAGGGTACGGAGCTTCTATACCACTTATATGATACTTATATGAAGGGTACACTAAGCCTCCGTACCTCCAACATCTGGTTGCGTCTCGTTCCAAGGGTATCCCTTTTGGAGTGTTTTGAGCGGAAACTAAAAGGTAAACCACCCTCGCTTGGGCCCGGGAAAAAAGAAAAAATCACCTGTTGGCACCAGTAAAAATGGCTCAAAACAGGGAAACCCAAAGGTGGAAAAGGTCGATAAGGTCGATTCGCCTTGAGCAAGTCAGCACCCGTTTTGCGGGGATTCCCAGTGAGGCCCCACAGATCGAAGGTCCGGCGAAGGCACTGCCACAAAGTCCGCCGCGCACGGCAGGGCCCCAGCGGCCTTGGCCAGCGTTCACGCAGCCATTTGGCCAGCCATTGAGAGATGGAATGAACCGTTTGGGAATCCCGCATAAAAGAAACCACCAGTTGGATGGTCAACAGAAACGGGTCATCCCCGCATTTTTTGGCAAGCCGAATCCTTTTGATTTGGACTTCTTGGCTTTTGGAAAGGGACTCTGTGCACCAAACCACCGTTTGTGGGAAGGAGAGCAAAGCTTGAAGACCTAACCAAATTTCAGATCAGGTGCAATAAACCCAGTACTCAGACCTCCAGTGGTTTCAAGGGTACCCTTTTCTTTGGGTGAGGCAAATCCAAGGCAAATCACCCATAGGCCTGGAAAGGGGAGAATGCAAAGGCAAACCACCCAGGTTCCAACCCGAGAACCTCATCAAAGGCATGCAGGCCAGCGGCTTTACCAGATCTGCTGACCAGCAGCATTTCCTGAGAGAGTCTGGTCCCCCAGTCACAATTTTCGGATAAGGTACTTGACATCTTGCTTTGTTACTGGCATCCCCAGAATGGTCGGTGTGCAACCTCAGGCCCAGGACAACTTTGCGTTCGCCTAAGTGCGCCTTGAAGAAGGCTCATATATATATATATATATATAATATGTATGTATATATATATACACATAATAATGATATGTCTGAGTATGTGTCAAACTATGCACTCCTTCCAACGGATAGCTTCGTGCTGGTCTCTCTTGGAGACGGGCCAAAAAACGGTCCAACTTGTTTTGACACAAACTCCAGGGGAGTCGGCTTGGAATGCCCCCTCAGAACTCGTGGTGCGGCTTCTTTAACCCAAAATCGCAGAGCTGACAGGGAGACGAGCAGCTGGAATGAATGTATGAAAACCAGTTGGCCTGTTGGCCATAGGGACACCAGCGTTAAGCCAACGAACGATTTTTTGGGTAATGATTTGACCCCGCAACATGGTCACACTCTTGGCACGGCGCTTTGCCAACAATCTTCAACATGGCGACGGAAACCAACACGTACCGTTGTGCTTCCATGTAGATAACGTTTGGTTTCAACAAGATAAAACACTGGTTGTGGCCCTTGTCAAACCAGGCAGTAGACCCCCCTGTAGATTCGACTGTCGCGCGCACCAAGCAAGTTCAATCACATGACAACCATGTGGCGCCCAGGAAGCTGCTCCTGTCTTGCGTGCGCGGCAAATAAATCCCCCGTGGCTCATTCTGTGGGTCACATGCTCGCTGCCGTGACAGGCATTTTGTTTTCTCCTGAGGCATTGCGTGCCGATGTATCAGAGCTGCATGGTTGTGGGCCTTCCCTTTCCACTGAAAACGTACACCCTGCTCCTTCTGCAAGCCAACATTTGGCAGGCCAGGGTCTAGTGTTTGTTCCAAAGCAGGACGAAGCATGGTTTAAGATTGAACGCTCAGTACAGAGCTGCCAACCAAAGCCAGTCAGTGCTGATGGTCAGCCAGACCGGCCAAACCTAGGTCGACGTTGAGTCAGGAATGGACAGCGGTGCCTTTCTGGCAGGCTGCCCGTGAAAACCTTGGCTTTTGGTCAGCGCCGAGTGCACCCTCCTCTAGAGAGCTGAGAATGCCGCAAAGAATCCAAAATGACTCATCAATTGACTTTGACCTGGGGTCGACAATAGGGTGCTTTCAGGGAGTTTGCAGACCGTTCCCTCAAAAGAGACTCAAAAGACCAAAATAACTGCGTATACTGTGATGGCCAAACATCTTTTGTTGACTCATGAAGTACAAGCGAAGCGTCTTATTCCAAGCTGCCATGAGCTTCTTTCATGGATCAGAGATGCATGTATTTTCGCAACATCACTCCCGCGCTGTATCACGGCCCCTTTCAATGCAGCGTGGCCTGTGCCATCTCTCAGTATACTATCTAGAATCACGACAGTCATACTATCAAATATGGTCTCACATCTGACACAGGCACAGATGTTGGTGCGTCCACATGCGGCACTCATACAAAACATGGATTATTTGGTCTTCTTGGTGTGGAGGTGGGGTGCTCACTGAGAAGCACACATGCGCAGCAAAAGTTGACTTCGGGACAAGCTCGCAAAGTCTTGCGCGCCCCATGAACTTTTGTGCAATGCGGTAGGACCGTTAGGATCATGACAGGGCGTGGCCGTTTTGCACTATCAAAGGCTCGCATTGCGTGACACGGGCGACATCATTCAACACCTCAACAAGCTTCCCAGAGTGACGCAGAGCCCAAGGGCTCTGAGTTTCATCGGGAGCAACGTCATCAAGATTGAGAGCAACTCACGAGCATCGCCTCTGTTCTCCCCGACTTCATCGTCACCGTCATCCTCATCGTCTCAAGCATAGCATCGCGGCAACCAAGATTCATGTCATCAGCGTCCACGCCGGCAACAGCATCTTTCTCCTGCAGATCGGGCACCAGACATGTGATTCATCACAGGGCTACCATTTAGGGCATATTGCCAAGCAATGGTACTTCAATTCTCAATAGGGTTGTCGATGCTAATTTAAAACCAGTAAGGAGGCGCTCTGTAGCTGATCTATCACTCCGTTAGGGTAGGAGAATCATACTTTTGTCAAGCTTGCCTCTTGGTAACCAGACTTTGTGCATGAGGTGTTAGGAGCACTTCTGCAAACACTCCGTTCGTGGAGATTCTTGCCTCCGGAAAGCGCATTAATCGCGAGGGAAAACACAAAAACAAACAAATTATGAGTGTTGGCAAATCCATCGCCACACTTGCGCTCTGGAGCCGTTCTTGCTGCTGCAGTGACGCTTGCCGCGCCTTGCGCTTGCGGGCTTGCAGCAGCGTTGAATGAAAGCAGTCACTATCATTCGCCCTTTTCTCCTTCCTGGACCCAATGTGCAACAAGGTCCATGGTGGTCTTTCGCGGATCTTCAGCAAACCTTGCTCCAAAATGGCCCAGCAAACGTTTTGGTTTTGGACAGTTCCCAACACAAGCAGGAAGTCAGGATACAAGTAAAGGCGCTGCACATCCCCTGTCTACAAGGGACTTCGGCCTGCAAATGTGTAAGCATGCTTGCCTTTCGCAGACTCTTCACGCTCTGGGATCTTTGCGAGGCGCATGATTACGCAGGAACAAGTGGAACATGAGCGAATCTCTGTCATGTTGTGTGAGCCTGGTGGTAAGTCTAAATTAGGCAGAATTACAGTTCTGGACTGAATGATGTGAGCATCTTGGTTACTCCTTCACTGGCGTGACACACAGAGAGACACACACACACACACACTTGACATGACATCATATTGGAATTGGGATGGTGCTGGTGTTCGAGTAAAAGATGGTTTTGTGCATGTGCATCTGTATTTGTGTGTGCGCGTTTAAATTGACAAATATTTCAGGCTGCATCCAAGCCCACCCCATTCCGCACCTTGCCGTAGTTTGCTTTGTTCAAACACTTGGCCGAGTATCCCGACAAATTCGAAGCAACTTCCTGATTAATTAAATTCTTTCAAACAAAGCCATCGGTTGGCAAATGTATGGTGGAAAAACATGTTCGTTTTGAACAACACAATGACTCGAGACAACCTATGCGTGGAGTCGAATGTGCTCTGACACAGGATCTAAGTTGCGCCGACCAACAGCCGAACTTTGCCGAGATTGCTTTCACAGCGCCTGGTGGACAGCATGGCTGGCTATGGCTGATTCACTCAGCCAGAAAAAGGCAGAAGAATATCAAGCTGCAGTTGGGCCCAGCAGCCAGCCGCAATCGGCACTGTCAAACGGTTCTTCCGTTGCCAGGCGAAAGGGGAAGCTTCTCGCTTCCACTCTCAGCCGCCGTGCCGAGCCCAAGCTTCGGGCTAAAGAGATTTGACGCCGCTTCGATAGCGGCAGCCAGTTAAACAAGCCCGGATTCAAAGGTACCTGCAGAATTCCGCAGGTCTTAACATGCTCGATTCAAATGAATTCAGAGAGAATGCTGGTCTTTAATACGATTTGCTCATGACTTTCAGAACCTGAGCCCTCAAAACAGAGGCCGTGGTAAACTAGCACGACCGCACTCAAACGTATGATTCCTGGATTCAATCCAGCGCTACTTTGCTTGAAAGTCCGATAAATCAAGTAAAAAGGCTGATTGCCAATAGCAAAGGTTGGCAAGGGGCTTCGACAAGCAACATTGACAAGGGATAGTGAAATGGAGAATTGACAAGTAGCGGGTACAACCCAACACCTGCAGAGCATAAACTTGTGAAGGCATTGGCCCGTTGACATCTCTCCATTTGCCAAAGAGCTTACTACTGGGGCGGGTGATACAAGCATGCTGAAAGGGCAACTCCCAGCTTTCTCTCAAAACGAAGCATTCTCCAGCGCAGAAGCGCCGGCTGAATCAAGGGCGGAAAGCCAAGCCAGCCCAAGAACATGATGCAATTGCATTGAACCGTTTCTATGGACATGTTCTGGGAACACCCTTGTGCAGTATATGATTGAAAGCAAAGTGACTTTGCATATAGGAAAGTCGAAGCTGCCAACATGTTTTAATCTATTGCTCGAGGGAGACCGTGACCAATCAGCTCCTGCTCCTTTCGTAGCAGTCGTTCTCAAAGAGAGCTTTTAAGCAGACACAGTTTGGTCAATGTTCCGCAGGCGCCTCTCACCTTGGCGCATTGCCTTTCGCTGCTCCGATCTGTGTCCTCAGAGGGCATAAGGCAAAGGAGAAGCTCGGAGGCCGGGGAAGAGAAAACAGAAGAATACTGAAAGTAACAACTGAAAGCCACGAAAGGGGCAGGGAGGCCGTCCTCAGAGCCGCAGCAACAGTTGCAGGCATGTGGTTGAGTTCACCATGTAACGCTTACACTGCGTGAAAGATTGGGGCGGCCATTCGTGAAAGATTGGGGCGGCGATTGCGAAACAAAGTCTAGATTGTCCATTTGGTCAGTGGGCCCAGGGTCTAAGCACTACACCTATCAACTAGACTACCAAAAACAGAGCTATGGCAGCCGGTCTGGGAAGGGGGAGACAGACATCGGAACAGCCATGAATCTGTTCGGAGGGCTGACAGCACAAGAGTGAACTGGGCTGAGCAAAACAGCAGGCGTGGATTAGCCACAAACAAACCGAGTGCATGCTTGTCCATGTGCTCCTACCAGAAAACACAACGCGCAGGCAAACTACGCCCCAGGCAAAACGTCGATCACAAAAGGACGACGAAAAACGTCTCTCTTTCAGTGCCAGGGCGCTGTTCTTGCGCCTCTTGGCTTCGTCCCATGTGCAAATATGGCAATGGGCACAAGCGTCGCCCTTGCGACAGCCGTCAGCCTGCGGCCGCAAAGCTGTGAGGCTGCGACCAGCTTATGGCCGATGGATCCGTCTACGCGACCCACTGCCATGTATCAAACGACGCCGCTTTTGAGGTCTGGTTTTCCTGTAGTAAGCCGTGGTTCTATGCTGTGCTTGCTGGGACGATACACTCAAGTTGACATTCCAGGATGAGGCAAGGCATGGCGCAGACTTTAAATGAAGCCTGGGTCCCAGAGAATGGAAGAGATCCTTTATCCAAAGGCACCTCGATGGTTGGGATCATGTGAGGCCGCGAAAATCGCGGGTCGTGTTCAACACTTCGAGGTCAAGACGCGTCCACATCTGCTGTCCGCTCAACAATCTGAGATGCAAGCTCTGCGTTGTAAATTGCGAGTTCAATACTCACATATATATATATATATACACATACATATTATACACAAATCATACGTAGGTTTCGTGACATGACATGGCATGACATCACTTTGCATTACATTACCATTACAAATACAAGTGCAATTACAATTAAAGTGCATCGCGCTACATTGCATTGCATTGCATTACGCTATATACATGTACTGTACTGCATGATTGTATTATATGTCCTGTTTCAGCATGTTCCCAATGTATTCCCCAAGGTGACAATCAATCCTGGTCCATTCCCAGTGAAATCGTATTTGCACCACTGTTGGAGGTCAAAGACCTGACCAAAAGCTGAACGTCGACATGTTGAGTTTGGGTCGCAACAATAGGAACGGCAAGGATCTTCATCCAACACGTCTCAAGTGTCTTGTAACAGGCGGCTTCACAACAAACCTCTTTGGATGTGATGAAGTCTCGGGCGAACCACATCATCAACAAGATCCTTAAAGGCAGCCTTTCCCAAGTGTGTCGCCACATGAGCGCAAACTCAGGGCACAAACAACAAGTGTGGCCTCCGGAATCCGGAATTGCTCGATGTTGTCACAATAGAATCAGTCTGCCTGTGTGCAACAACATGCTCGTGATCAGTTGATGGTGGCTGCCAAAAACATGGCAGCTAACTCTTGGATATTTTCACCTGAGGTTGCACAAACCCCTCGTCCTCTGTTGGCTGCCCGTTTTGGGTTACTTGTTTTAACCATTTATCGGTTTATTGTGTTTTTCAATTTTCGGCTTCTGTTCTTTCGAGATCTCGGTACACGACTCCAGCTGGAAACTTGCAACTTTTTCCAGTGGTGTGATACCCAATTCCACTTTTGCATCTCCAGCTCAAACATCGCAACTTTCGATCACAACGGTATACAAAGTGGACTTTGGCTGCTCCAGCTCACAGTAGTGCACGATGTACACTTTGGCTCCAGCTCAAAAACTCGGTGCCTTCACGCCTTCAATCGACACCGTAACTTCCCTGCCTGGATACTTGACCTGCTAATACCTGCTATGCGCGGCACTAAAATTGTCACGTCTTCGGTGGGCATTTCGGTCAATGCCCAATGCACCCCAAAGCCGGCAATGAGCCAACACTGAGGGATTGACACTCTCACTGACCAGTCAGCATGGCCAAGGTTAAGACACGGCGCCTTTCGGGTGAAGAACAAGCAAGGATCACAGCGTCCGCTTTGATGCCGCTCCAATGCAGATGTCGAAGGGGCATCCCAGGGAAGCGTCCACCTGCAGCTGCGCATGGTTTGGGTAGGAAACGCGAACCTAAGGCTGTGCGGTCAGCATGCCACTTGCTTTGCCTCTTTGTCGTGGGGGTTTGCAACAGCATGCGTGTAGCATAGTGTAACTGTGTCAGCATAGAACCTCCTTGGATAGCTCTCATTCTGTGGCAAGCTCGCCTGCCATGCCGTCCCTAGGAGCCCTCGCCAGCAGAACTTCTATTGGCAGACCTAAATTCTCCCAGGAATGTTCCACAATGATTCGGCCTCCGGCTTGGGCCCAAAGCTGGCAGCACCCTGCGGGCGTCAGCCCCCGTCGCCATCAGAATAGGACATGCTGAAAGATATGGGTATGGGTCAAAGTTAAACCACCAAAATTAAACCACCAGGGGACCGCAGGTTTTAGTCCATGTTTCCATTTACCAGGGTTCCATTTTGGGTACCTATTTTTGACCCACAGCCATATACAGACATGTTCAACAAAAAACTTTTGGCCGTGACTCCAGCAAAGGGCAACTCAGCCAAGTGATCAAGCCGCGACACCGTGCAGCGGGGGACTGTGACTGGCTTCGTGGCTCTCGCAGTCCTGCTGTGCCACCGGCAAGCAGTCCTAGGGCGCATGCTTCGAATGATCGCCCGTGTGAAAGAGCGGTACAGGAACAAAAATTGCCGTCTCTGCGCGAGCTAGCGGGTATGACTTTTAAGATTCAAGAGGCATGAACGGATTACCTCATGTCCTGCCGCCGGTGAGGAACAGGGAGCAAGAATAACTAAACAAATCTTCCAGGTTGAGCAAACATCGGTGTCAAGACACAGCTCCAAAAGCCATTGAGACCCGAACCCTTGACCTCAGCTGGAGGCAGCGTTCGAATCCGTATTGTCAATGCCAGCTTGCCTATTTAGTGTCTTTTATATAGGCGAACAGCAGTTTGAGCAGCACCACCATATGCTCACGCGGCCAAGGAAAAACAATTGCATGCAGGCTGAGCAATCAAATGACAATAACTCGTTGTCTGCTCATGTGACAAATACCACTGGGCACGGTACCCAATCTCTTAAGCAAGCAACCAACAACTCGAAGAGAACTATTCAGAGATTTGAGCTGAGACAGGCTGAGTTTTGAAACATGTCCACTGCTTCCAATAGCCCTGAGCAGCTTGTCCCTCGCATGTCCTGTAGGCCAAGGGTAAACCTCAATGGAGGTGTTGTGGATGACTATGGCGAAAGTCTCCTCAGCATTCGCCTCGGTGAATGATTGGAGGAACCTTCTGTGACCCCCGACGCTTCCTGTTCAACCCCCTTCCTTTTATTTCACCCCCCCCCCTTTCTTTAGTCTGACCCCCTTCTTTTAATTTGACCCCTGACCACCCTCCCCCAGTCATTTATGACCCTCTGCAACTACTTTGAATTTCATTCATTTATTTGTCCGTTCCTTGATTCACGTTGGTGTCCAGCAGTCTCATGCACTTGAGTCTAGCTAGCTGCTTGCCCTAGCTGTTTCTTGACATGCCAATCCACTGGAGCCTTCACGCCTTCCCCCAAACACAGCTAAGGCGCATGAAACTTTCCGACCACGTGACCCTTCAAGGCACTGGCGCCGTCGGCAAAGGCCATGGCAGCTTCAGCCGTCCTTGTTGGACACCTGTGCAAATGGGATTCCTGACCGGGATGAAAATTCTTCCTGCGGGAGCGGCGCGTCCGGTCACGGTCTGCACATTCAACTGGCGCAGTGGCCACCGATGAAAAGGCGGGACTTCGAACATCCGAAATTGGAAAGCCATGCCATGGGAAATTGTCGTTGCGACGACCGCGTAGTCAAACAGATTCAATCATGTGAACATTGGCAGCTGAGCGTGCGCTCAGTTTGGATCATTTGGACAACATGCCATGCTTCTTAGCCCTGACGCGTACCACTCTCAGTGAGAGTGGAGCATTCTGATTTCAGTTCAGAAGTGTTCCGTTGGCCGCTCTCCAATGGTCGTACAGGGTTTGGCAGCTCCTCACTTGAAGTCCCCTCCCCCCCTCCCTTCAACGCCTGTCCGTTCTCGACAGCGGGTGTCACTTGACCCCGCCCTCTGTAATTTGGCCTAGTCTCTCATATGGGGCTAGTCTCCAGATAAAGAACAGGCAAGGGCCCCCGCAATTGAACAACCAAAGGTCGGGACGTGAGATGTTTCTCGAAATATATGAACAGGAGTAATTCACTAGGGCACTGGGTGGTTCATAGGGGGCGTCCCATTAAAAAGGGAATCTGGATCACTCTTTGGTGTGATACCGTGTAGAAACTCACCTTGATTAATCGGGGGTCAATGTTGTAATTACTTGTCGATTCTGGCCAACTTCACATGAATCAAATGATGTCACCACCATCTGCAAGTCCCCAAGTCAAGGACCTACTGTACTTCATGAGCTCGTGTTGCCACCAAAGCGGGAATCTCGACCAATGGGTCCAACAAACCCATTTTCTTTCGACCCACGCATCTCCCCCCTCACCCGTCCGCCCGTCCCCGCCCTTGGAACCGCACCTCGGCGCCCTCGCCGCCGTCGAGCACCGCGGCGCAGTTCCCGGCCACCAGGCCGTCCGCGAGGACTGGGGCCGCCCCCGTCTGCTCCAACAGCACGCAGCCCTCGGCCAGCGCCTGCGATCAGAACAAAGGGACCCCGCCCACGGGGGCCTTGGACCAAGGGGCTTTCAAAAAGGTTGCAAGGGGGGGTAGAGGCCGAAAAGCCGAGGTGAGACCTTTTGGCTTCAGTCGGGTCTTCATTTGCAGGTCGAGGATGATTGTTCAAGGGCTGGACTTGAACGTTGTTGGGGGTTTGGAAGAGCAGGCTGGGACTTGTTCATTCCGCCACAAACAATTGCCCTAAACCAGCAGGTGACGGAGCATCCAACGCAACTCCATATCTCCAAAAACAGGAGAGACTCATGGTACCCCACCAAAAAAAGGACAAACTCACTGTGTTTCGTGTCCGGGCTGAGTCGCCTTGGACAAGCGCTGGAACTCCGAACGCTGCTGCTCGTTCAGCAGCAGCTCCGGCTCGGGCCCCGCATGGCAAGCAAACCTGGCTGAGGGGTCCCATGAGACACCAGGGAGATGTGACGTTTTTTGAGGGTGGCCCTTTTTATTATGTTCTTCTGGTCTTTCCTTAATTAATTCTGTTTTTTTGCGGGTTTTGAAGAGAAACCAAAGGGACCATCACCATTTGTGTGTTTTCCCGAAAGCATGGCGAAGGGTTCTTCCGCTGGGTTCACTTGAGTTGTTCTCATGAGAGTCATTACAAGGTGTCATTGCAAGGAATCATCATCATGAAAGTCATTGCAAGGAGCCATTGCAAGGAGTCATTGCAAGGAGCCATTGCAAGGAGTCATTGCAAGGAGTCATTGCAAGGAGTCATTGCAAGGAGTCATTGCAAGGAGTCATTGCAAGGAGTCATTGCAAGGAGTCATTGCAAGGAGTCATCATGGCAAGGAGTCATTGCAAGGAGTCATTGCAAGGAGTCATTGCAAGGAGTCATTGCAAGGAGTCATTGCAAGGAGTCATTGCAAGGAGTCATTGCAAGGAGTCATTGCAAGGAGTCATTGCAAGGAGTCATTGCAAGGAGTCATTGCAAGGAGTCATTGCAAGGAGTCATTGCAAGGAGTCATGGCAAGGATTGCAACTTGCACTTGACTCCTTGCACTTGCAACTTGCACTTGACTCCTTGCACTTGCAACTTGCACTTGACTCCATGCACTTGCAACTTGCACTGACTCCATGCACTTGGCTCCTTGCACTTGGCTCCTTGCACTTGGCTCCTTGCACTTGGCTCCTTGCACTTGCACTTACTTGCACTTAACTCCGTGCACTTGCGACTTGCACTTGGCTCCATGCACTTGGCTCCTTGCAACTTGCAATGGCTCTCATGACTCCTTGCAATGACTCCTTGCAATGACTCCTTGCAATGACCCCTTGCAATGACTCCTTGCAATGACTCCTTGCCATGACTCCTTGCAATGACTCCTTGCAATGACTCCTTGCAATGACTCCTTGAAACAAGCAAGGAGTCAAGTGCAAGTTGCAAGTGCAAGGAGTCAAGTGCAATTGACTTGCGAGGAGTTAAAATCTCTTCTTAGGGCGGCGGGGTAGTGCCGACGACACTACACGAAAATCGACCCTCTGCGGGGATCGGCGTGGTCGAGGTGCAAAAACCCATGGTTTTTTTTGCGATTTCTGCGGTGCTCGCGCGACCCTCTGCGGGGATCGGCGTGGTCGAGGTGCAAAAACCCATGGTTTTTTGCGATTTCTAAAGTTCCCGCGCGACCCTCTGCGGGGATCGGCGTGGTCGAGGTGCAAAAACCCATGTTTTTTTGCGATTTCTTGCTCGCGCGACCCTCTTCGGCGTGGTCGAGGTGCAAAAACCCATGGTTCGATGCGCGCGACCCTCTGCGGGGATCGGCGTGGTCGAGGTGCAAAAACCCATGGTTTTTTGCGATTTCTGCTCGCGCGACCCTCTGCGGGGATCGGCGTGGTCGAGGTGCAAAAACCCATGGTTTTTTGCGATTTCGCGCGCGACCCTCTGCGGGGATCGGCGTGGTCGAGGTGCAAAAACCCATGGTTTTTTGCGATTTCTGCCCGCGCGACCCTCTGCGGGGATCGGCGTGGTCGAGGTGCAAAAACCCATGGTTCGCGCGCGCGACCCTCTGCGGGGATCGGCGTGGTCGAGGTGCAAAAACCATGGTTTTTTGCGATTTCTAACCTGCTCGCGCGACCCTCTGCGGGGATCGGCGTGGTCGAGGTGCAAAAACCCATGGTTTTTTGCGATTTCTGCGGTGCTCGCGCGACCCTCTGCGGGGATCGGCGTGGTCGAGGCGTTTTTTGCGATTTCCCTCTGCGGGAATCGGCGTGGTCGAGGTGCAAAAACTCGAGGTTTTTTTCCATTTCTGCGGTGCTCGCGCAACCCTCTGCGGGAATCGGCGTGGTCGAGGTGCAAAAACTCGAGGTTTTTTGCGTCTTTTGTTGTCCTCGGGAGTTGTCTCGTGGTTCGCGCGCCTGCTCCCGGGCCGGCGGGTCGCGGGTTCGATTCCTCCCTGGTCCGCGGGCGGGCGTCGCAAGATGCAACTTGCATTTTAAAGCAACTTGCGCAGAGCAACTTGCACAGAGCAACTTGTGCAGACCAACTTGCGCCGACCAGTTTGCGCAGAGCGCCTTGCCTAGAGCAACTTGCGCAGAGCAACTTGCGCAGAGCAACTTGCACCGACCAGTTTGCGCAGAGCGCCTTGCCTAGAGCAACTTGCGCAGAGCAACTTACGCAGAGCAACTTGCACAGAGCAACTTGCACAGAGCAGCTTGCACAGAGCAACTTGCAGGGAGCGCAATTTGCACAGAGCAACTTGCAGGGAGCCACTTGCAGGGACCAACTTGCCGGAGCAACTTGCGCGGAGCAACTTGCGCAGAGCAACTTGCACAGTGCAACTTGCGTAGAGCAACTTGCGCAGACCAACTTGCACCGACCAGTTTGCGCAGAGCACCTTGCCTGGTGCTGTCTCGCGCTTGCTTCACGAAGTGTAGGGAAAAAGAACGCATCCTGCAGCGTTGGGCCGACCTCGCTTGCGATGTTCTGCTTTCGGGCCAACCGTGGTCTAGTTTTTTGGGGGGGGATCCAGCCTGAAGAAAGACACACCCAGGGTGTTTACGGATCCCGAAGAGCCGAGCCCGAGTCGACCTCAAGGACCCGTTCAGCCCTTGTTTTGGGATGGGAGTATTCAATTGAAGCGGTTGCCATGTGTCCGTGGCCACAGGTCTGGGCCAAGGGTTGTCCAACTTGATCAGTGCGATGTTCGGGGAAGCAACGCGACTATGAGTTGCAATGGTTGAAACACATTCAAACCGTTTGATGCTGGTTGGCAAACTAACCACCGTGCCTCAAGACGCCCAGAAAAACTCGGCAATTCATTTTGAGAGGCTATTTTGTGACTTTTGGAACCCTGCGGTTTCCTTCAATGAGGGGTGAATTTGAGGCAGGCTTGTCCAGGTTGACGGTACCCCGAACATAAGAGAAAGCACAAATTTTGGGGCCTCCCGGCATGCTTTTTAGCTTTATGTTTCTTTTGTTCTGTTCATGTCATTGGGTGGCCGCTGAAAACAACGTGTTTTGCGCACATGCGGGGCCAAGAGGGTCGGGGTGTGCTTTGTGAGCAACACCGACCTGGAATTGTATACGAAGTAGTGGAGCAGGGAGGAGGGGAAAGGCCTGGCGTTACCCCAAGCATCTTGGGCCCGAAGAAGCCCTTTTTGAGGTCCACAGGCCTTTCAACGGAGGTCACTTCCCTTGAAAGGAGGGTCGCTGCTGAGGGTGGCGTGACTGAAATCTATCAGGTTGCTCCGGACGCCACTGGAGGTCGGAGTGTGTTTGTTTCTTGAGGCAGCCCTTGTTGCCTTGTTGGGCTGGTTTAAAGGAGGCAGTTCTTGTTGGGTTAAAGGGCAGCCCTTGGGTTTAAGGGAAACAACAAGAACAGCTGAAATCCGAATTTCTTTGGGGGTTCCTCTATGCCAATCCGAATTTCGGTCTCCGGCGGCTTCCCATCAGCCGGCCACCCACTTCTCAGCTAGAAAACGGTCAACTTCCATGTTGGGTGGGAGCGGGGGAACGCCTTTTACATGCCAACCTCCAACTTTTGATTTTTTGGAGTCCCCTATTTTGACACATGGCCTTTAGAGCCATGTAATATGTTGTTTTAGCGAGGACATACCAGGGTCACATGGTTTCCACCCTTCGGAAAAGAAAGGACATCCAAGCAGTCATTCAGGCATTGGTCTTTTTGCTGGGGTCTGAGTCCATTGTGTGGACACCGTTAAACAGGAAACAGGGTCTAAGTTCCAAACGAGCCCGAATTGCCGGAAGCGCTTGGAAAAACTGAGCTCGGAGCTGCTGACTGGCCGATTGGCTTCACTTTTTGAACGAAGAAAATTGTTTCTTCATGAACCAATATTTAGCTGTGGGTCAAGCATAGGTACCTAAAATGGGTTGCCCTGGTAAATGGAAACGAGGACTATAACCTGCGGTCCATACCCATTTCAGGGTTTCACCACCCTCAGACCGGCTGCCCAATCGCCCAAAAGTGTCTAAAGTTTGCCAAGATCCGGTTTTGTCAGCAAGGCCCGGCCAGGATCATTTGCAATCCATCCCTAAGAGACTCGTTTCCAAGCTTCCTGAAAGGAAACCCAAACCCCCTTTCCCCGATGCCGTCGTTGGGCCAACTCGAGGGATCGACGCTTTGACGCCAAGTCGACGCCGGGGCACTTGATGCGTGGCGCCCCCTCCTGTATGGATCTGTCCTCTGCGGAGAGGTCAGCCATGGCGCGCGAGAAAAAAAAGTCGACCCAGCCGAGTTGGGAGCCCTGAAACCCGGCCTAGGATGTGGCTCTAGGTTCCACTTTGGCCCCCCAACCCATTTCTCCCAGTGACCCTTAGAAAAAGGGAGCCCTTAGACTTGACCTGCTTTGTGGGGAATGGGCCGCTGGGCTGGGTAGAAGTTCACTGGTTGCGGGTTGAACTGGAAAATGAAGGAAAGCTGGCGGAAAGTTGTCTGGGAATCGAAGGACTGAGAACGTACCCCAAAACCCTCATTCTTCACAAGGGTACTGGTTCCACAGGTTTAACCAATTCCAACCTCATAGCACGAACATGAGTGAACTCCGGCAGAGAACTGGTGCACATCCAGTATGACCTTGAGGCGAAAGCTGCCCAACACCAAGAACAGCGTTCCTTCCGTTGACCCGACATGTCACAATTGGCAGGCCAAAAGCACCGGAGATGTCACCCTGGACTCTCGCTGCCATACTGCTTTGTTTATGGGGGAAGCAAAGCAAATTTGGTCCACGCGCGTCCCGGCACGCGCTGCTTTTGTCGACATGTCGCCTTCGATTGCCTTCTCATCCATCTCGCTGCATGCATGGAAACTGCTCTCTTTTTCACCATGTAACATTTGCAAGTGGCTTCTGAGTAGCTGGTTGCTCCCTCAAAAACTCTAAACATGCTCAAGTCTTGAGGATATGGCTAGGAACTGCCAACGTCGGGATGCAGCACGCAGAATGCGCCAAAAAAAGTCCCTTCCAGTCATGATTCGTGACATGACTGAAGTGCCTGTATGGTGAACTTTGCACTACAGGCGGGCGTGACACGAGAAGATTGACTGGACGATGATCTCAGCACCCTCGTCATGCATGCGAAACCAAGTTGCTTACAAAGGTGATGCTTGAAACCACCCTTTGATGTGAAATAGTGGGAACTCTGTCAAAAGAAAATCCGTCATGCTGCGCTTCCTGAATCAAGGAGAAGCAGGTCACCAGTCCATGCCCTCTTCGCGGATTCTTGCGCATTTGCGCACTCCTCTGCATGCAATCGCCTAAGGCCACCACTTTCGATGGGTTTCAACCGCAGGTTGCAGGGTCTTTCAAAAAACCGGAGGGTTCACAGAAACAAGTTTTTTGTAGGGATAGAGAAAGGGAGCACTGAATCAACTGTCCGCACCAGAAGGGAAATCTGGTGAATCTGGTGACTCGTGTGGTGGCTTGCCTAAATTGGGTCTCGCCGGTTTGGCAGGTTCACATGTCTCCCACCGCTCAGCAGTGAGAGTGACCCTGAGAGCTCGAGCACAACTCGTGTGCTTGGCTCTTTCACCTCACGCGAAAGCCGCGGTCTGAGGTGCAAAGGGCAGAGGCCGAGGTCCCCACATTCTCGGTGGCGCAAAGGACGCAGAAACAAAAGGTTTACCTTGTCGGGCCCCAAAGGTTGGAAAGGTCGGCTTCGAACAACTGAGCATTTGGTTTGGAATCTAAAAAAGGAAATCTACCCACGTTTTGGGAATTCCAACTACATTTCCCCAACATCACCCTAAACGGAAAGACAGGCGCACAGTGGGTCCATGCTGAAAGCCAACAAAAAGAGGCAGACTTGGGGAATCCTGTGCAAAACCCAGGCTTCCAGTGGGAGCAAAAGGGCACTTGGATTCGAAACGGGAACCGAGTGGATTGGTCAAAGCTCCCTGTGTACCAAACTGGTCCAGAAACTGAAGTGAGCCCTTCAATTAGGGCACCACAAGAGGTCTGGGAACAGAACTCACAGGAACCCATGAAGTCCTTCCAATGGGCCTTACCCGCATGCCGCCTTGGTGTCCCGGTGTCTCTGTTACCAATCGGGGTCCTTGTTTTAAAGCAACGTACACGTGGCGCCGTAAAAGGCAAGGCACGCCTTGACGTACAAACTTCATTTTTAAAGGTGACGGTTTTGTTCCAAAACCAGCTGAAGGGTCGTAAGCTTCTGTGATTCGACAAAGGCTGCCCTTTCGCATATAGTCTTGGTTGTCTCGTTTGGGTCCGGCCTTACCGGAACCCTTGGCATGGTCCCATGATGAAATCTGCGCACAGGAGTGACTCAACATGGCAAACATGGGGGGCCGGCCGGATTGAAGGCATTTGGGTGGGCACAGGTCCCCAAACCAAAAATGGCCTACCAGCAGTCTCGACGTCAAATGAAGCTACCCTCGTAAGCTAGGCCTCTGCGAAACGGGTTACGCTGGAGTGCCCAAATGTTGCAAATGGAGCAGGGTTGGATGTGGGCCCTTGCAATCTCCTGAAAATTCAGATTGACCCCCCCCCGACCGGAATAAAAACAATAATGAACTGTGTGGGAATTTAGATTGCCCGGTTTCAACCAGTTTCACTCACTGCTCAACTTGGAACATCGGCCAATCTGATTTGAAACATCTCGATCTAAAGCGGGCCAAATTCTTTCGTAACCCAAGGAAAGGATTTGGCGGGTTGCCCAACTGAACAGCCAATGCTCAAGACCCTCAACGCATAGACGCGGTCAAAATGACGAAGGTTCTCCGAGGACATGAGACATTTAGGGCTTCGGCTTGGTTTTCGTGGAAACTTGCTCGGAGCTTGTCCCCCAATTCCGTCTCAGATTCAAACAACCCTCCCAAAACAAACAGGAGGAACTGGCACAGGAACCGGTCCCCGAAAATTAAAGGAAAACCATACCCATGGACAAAGGGCCGTTGTATTACACAGGATTGCTGGCGTGTCAAGTCTGGTACATACCAAGGAGTTGCCTGGAAACAAGCAATCATACTGTTGATGCCATATTAATCAACCCCAGTTTATTAGTAGCGTTCCTCTCCGAAAGTGATGATTCCCCGCTAAACCCAGCAACACCCCCCCCACTAATGGACTGGGGTTGATGAAAATGGGTTCCACGTTGGTTTCCTGGTGCGTGGGTGTCACCCTACTCAAACTTCAACCGAGATGCAGCGGGTCAAAGTGGGGGTCCTCGTCCGCCACGAGGGCGGACAATTCCTCAGAAGGCCCGGTTGAGGTGCCCCATTTCCCCCCCCCCCTCCAGATTTCTACGGGGAAGCAAGGCCCCCGTTTTGTTGGAGGATAACAAAAAGGGATGCTGACCTTGTAGAGGATTTGGAACCTGATGCTAGGAGAAACCACACATGCCCGTTTGGCATTTAGGAAGCCGAGGCTTAGGAACAGAAACCTGCATGGGCGTGCGTCTTAAAATAGGGGAGTCCGCAAATAGTACGATTCCTTTTTTGGCTTTGCTTGAACACCACCCCCAAACGGACTGCTCAAAAAAGACACACCCACTCTTTTTGCTGACAAAGCTGTCAGACGGTGCCCTTTCCCTTGGTCGCCTTAAGGGAATGCCACCAAAAGGAACAAACAGGCCCAGAGATCCCAGAGGCACTGGACTTCCGAGAGCATCTCGTGCAGAACATGAAGCTGACACTCAACAGCTTCCCCCTCCTTGGCATGTCAGCCTCTCAACTTTGCTCTTTGGCAGCCCACTGAAAACACGGGTTGCCAGACTCTTTGGATTGAGCTTCACTCGTATGTCCGGAATCCACCCCAGGCTTTGATTCGGAAAAAAGCCCCCTATATTGATGTGGACGCTTTAAATAAAATCCGTTGACAAGGCAGGATTTGCCTTCAATCCACCGGTGAGTTCCAATGCAACTCTTTAGAGGTCCCCCAAACATGAAATTGAGGCCCTGCAAAGCCGAGGTAGGAGTGCGCGAGAAACCAACAAGCCTCCATTCAAGTCCAAGATGCGACGCCGTTTTGGTCCTGCTCGAGACGTGCCTGCAATCGACAGAGCCAGGAAACATGGCCCGCCCGGACCGATTCCGTTTTCCGGCCCCGACCCACAAAAAGCGCTTCCAAAAACAAAACGCTGTTTTCCTTCGTTTCCCTTCAAAACCACCAAGAAAGTCTAAGGGGTACCAAAACAAGGGGGTCCTTTTGGGGGGCAGGTCCACGCTCTCAGAGTCTCAGCGTCGCGCTTCTGAACGTCGCGACCAGGCCCTGCACACGAGGTGAGTTTGCAAAATTGGAACCAAACGGTGTGGTTGCAAAACTCACTTCTGAGTGGATTGGCCAACAAAATCCAAACTTTGTACTTCCCGTCTTCCCAAAAGTATTAAGCGCAGGAACTTGGGAAGTGAGAAAAGAACCGAGCAGGAACCGGTCCCTATGTTAGGAAACAGGGGGTGTTGAAGCAAAAACAATCTGCAGCGTCGATGCCCAAAACTGTTTAGAGTCGAAAGGGGATCTCTGCATTTGGGTTTTCTCTTTTGGACACCAACAGGAAAACCACCATTTTGGGGGGTTCCCCCCCAAAAACGAGACACCCATTTTCAGCGCTCCGCCCCACCCAAATCCTCCTCCACCCCTGACTGCCAAAATCCGCCCGCCCAGGCCTCGAAGCGGTCACTCCGACAAACACGAGGAGCATCACGGGTGGGCCAGCGAAGAACGCGAGGATCCTCACCTGGCTGCGGATCAATACCAAGCCACTGGCTGACCCCTCCTTGGTCCTTTTTCGCCCCTTTTTGGCCTGCCTTTGACCCCAAAGAGGCATGGAGGCAGGCAGGGTCCTGCCAACTTTGTCCGTTGCTGAGCTCAGAAAACCTGGAATCTCCGCCAACTGGCTCGCGGGATCTCCCTCAGCATCGCGGGCTTGACAAAAAGGGGCTTCCCAGATATGCTCGACCTGTATGTCCGGGGCAAAAGGGGCGAGCGTTTGGAGCAGTATGTTTGAAGCGAAGGTCCCTGAGGAACGGGACCGGAGGTCTCAGGTGCGCCTTTCGAGCTCTCAAACTGGCGCCCTTATACATCAGACCCCATGGGCATAGGCAAAAGGCACACCCTGTTGTTGGTATTTGGGTGTGGGTCGAACATGGGAACCAAGGACTAAAATCTGCGGTCCCCTGCGTCCCCTGATGGTCCAATAGGCAACTGGTGCCCCAAAGAGCCAATGTGTAGGGGGCCAAGCCTCACCCCACACATGGCGTAGTGGGCAGCGAGCTGCTGCGTGAAACGGGGTGCCACCCGGAGTGACGTGCCAACAGAAGAGGGCAGATCACAAAATCA